GGTGCTCCTGTTTAGTTTGTTTCCCCCCCGTTTTTCAGAAACTGAGAGCCCACTCATGCCCCTTGTCACACCTATCACAAAACTCCTTGGATTTTATGACAGGTTTTTGTAATGAAGCCATCAAGCACAGAAAATCAGTGTGGGTAGAGCTGTGGCTCAGTGGAAGAGCCTCTGCTTGGCATGCAAAAGGTCCCAGGTTCAATCCCCAGCTTCTCCAGTTAAAAGGACTAGACAATAGGTAATGTGAAAGACCTCCGCCTGAGACCCTGGAGAGCTGCCAGTCTGAGTAGACAAATCTGACCTTGATTGACCAATGGTCAGACCTCCTTGTGTGGGTGCTAATAGGGTCTCTCTGTTTATTCTCACAGGGGATGATCAGCAGAATGAAGAATACGAGGAACTGCATGAGTTATCATCTGTAAGAGTCAAGAATCAAGAGTTGACCGGAAACTTCAAAAATCTAGACAGAGCAAAGGGAGAAGAAGGAAGTCACCTGTTTGAGAAGGGGAATCAACCCTATCTTTGCCAAGGAGGGGATTTCTGTGAAGTAGTTCACATTGGGGGGGAAACATACAAGTGCTTGAAATGTGGAATGGACTTTTCAGACAAAGTCCAATATAATACCTGTTTGGAAAAGAACAGTAGAATGAAGACCTCTAAACGTCTGAAGTGTGGAAAGAACTTCACTTGCACATCAGAGCTTCTTAGACACCAAAGAATCCACAAAGCAGGTAAAGTGTATATCTGCTCATCCTGTGGGAAGAGCTTCTCGCATAAAACAAGCTTCATTCTGCACCAAAAAATTCATATGGAACAGAAGCCATTTATCTGCTTGGAGAGTGGAAAGAGTTTCTCTGAAGGAAATAAGGGTAATCTGCATTTTCCAAGGCATAGTAGTATGAAGGCATCTAAATGCTTTCAGTGTGGAAAGTGCTTCAGATACAAATCTCAATTCCTTGCACATCTAAGAACCCACACAGGGGAGAAACCTTTTGAATGCTCAGAGTGTGGAAAGAAATTCATTAGGAGTTTTCATCTTCAGCGGCATCTAAGAACCCACACAGGGGAGAAACCTTTTGAATGTTCAGAGTGTGGCAAGAAATTCAATCAGAGCTACAATTTTCAACAGCATCTAAAAACACACACAGGGGAGAAACCTTTTGAATGCCTGGAGTGTGGAAAGAAATTCAATAAGAGTTTCAATTTACGACAGCATCTAAGAACCCACACAGGGGAGAAACCTTTTGAATGCTCAGAATGTGGCAAGAAATTCAATCAGAGTTACCATCTTCAACGGCATTTAAGAACCCACGCAGGAGAGAAGCCTTTTCAATGCTCAGAGTGTGGAAAGAGTTCCAACTGGATTTCCAGTCCTCATTGGCATCAAAGAACCAATACAGAGGGGAAACTTTTTGAATGTTCAAAGTGTGGAAAGGGTTTCAACTGGAATGCCAATCTTCAGTGGCATCAAAAAATCTACACTGGGGAGAAACCTTTTGAATGCTCAGATTGTGGGAAAAAATTCAGTAGGAGCTTCAATCTTCAACGGCATCAAAAAATCCACACAGGAGACAAACCTTTTGAATGCTCTGGGTGTGGAAAGAAATTCAGTCAGGGTTACCATCTTCAGCGGCATCTAAGAACCCACACAGAGGAGGAACCTTTTCAGTGCTCGGAGTGTGGAAAGGAATTTATCCAGAGTTGCCATCTTGTACAGCATCAAAGAATCCACACAGGTGAGAAACCTTTTGAATGAGTGTGGAAAGAGATTCCTCCAGTGTGGCCATCTTCAACAGCATCAAAGAATCCACATGAGGTGAAACTGAATGGCTGCTAAGCCTGTGACAAGACCTTGTCTCATATTGCATACATTAACAGCAACCATAAAGTCCACACAGAGGTTAAACCATAAAAACTATTGCAAAGAGATTATATCTGCACAGAAACTTTACTATAGTGAAAGAAAGAAAGAAAGAAAGAAAGAAAGAAAGAAAGAAAGAAAGAAAGAAAGAAAGAAAGAAAGAAAGAAAGAAAGAAAGAAGATTCCTACGGGAGAAACAGAATAAATCCTTGAATCGTGGAAAGAGCTTTAGCCATAAAGTCTCCAATAGATCTCAAAGGGAAGAAAGCAAAGATGTGCTCTGAGGGTGGAAGGAGATTCCAGACCAGCTCTGCCCTCCTTAAGCACTGAGTAATCCACGTGAGAGAAACCTCATAAATGTTCAGTATGTGGAAGAACTTGAGGAAGAGATCAGACACTCATGTTCTTCAGAGAATCCACACAAGGGTGAAACTTTCCGCTTGAACGGCCCTAGATAGGTTCTGTGGAGGGTGTTTTTGAATTGCCCAGACGTGACGGGCTCAGGCAGTTGTCAGATTTTCAGGGGGGTGGGAGGGTATCCTTGGCGTTTGTAAGTGAATGTTTTGAAATGTGAATGTCCCTTGATTCTCACAAATCACTGTCAGAAGGGGGAAGTCAGATGCCCTTTTCTGTGTTTTGTGGGTTTTTTTCAGACTGGTGATTAGGAAATCTTTAAAACAATAGTTCATTGCAAGGGTTTTAAGTGTTTTTTTAAAAACTGATCTGTTAAAGTGTAAAAAGAAATCCTCTTGCTTCAGCCAGGCCTCTTCCTCCTTGTCTCATCCCCATGTTTTAAGTTCAAGAGCCAGAGTGTGGGGCTACAGCTGGGTGGATCTGGATTCCCAGCCACACTTGGCCAATCACTAACATACTTTTCAGAATTGCTCTGAAGAATAGTGTGCATCTGGGGTGAGACCCTTCTTGCAAGAAATGCTTAGTGGATTGTTAGGTACGGAAATGTCTGGACTTTGCTGGTATATGGTAGGTCTTGGATTGGTTGTGTTTCTAAAAATTAATTTTTTTTGTTGATGTGGGAATACCAATGCCATACTTTTGATTCAACCCCCCCCCTCTTTTTCTCTTTTGGTATTTTTGTATTTTTCATTTGTGCATGTGTGTGCACGTGTGCACCTAGAAGTCATGGCCAGACATATAATGGCTGGTATAATGGCTTGCCCCCTAAGCAAAAATCCCCCCCCCCAGTAAAAGTTGCTAGCTACAGGGCTGGCAGGCCTTGACAAAATTTCTTTGGCTTTAGGAGCCACCTCCTAAAATTTAAGAGCCAGACTTACTGTAATTTTGAGGCTAGACTGCTGTCATGCACTGTATATGGGCAACTCAGGTGCTCCTATTAGTCACTGTTGGGCAATCACTGTCTGTAGTCTTTTCATCATTCATGATCATTCACCAAGTTAAATTCAAGGTTTTCGTTATCCCTGACAAAGCCATGAAAGGCCTAATCATCCACATACCTTCAGGACCGGCTCTCCCGCTCTCTTCCGCTGCTACAACTTTGATCATTTGAGCAAAACCTTCCAAAGGTGTCACCCTGCAGATAGGTACGCTTGGCATCTTCCATAATTTTTTTACGTTCCAGAGATTGTGTGAAAACTGTCCTTTTATCGTGACGTTTCCTGCAAGTGTTTGTTCTTCGTCTCTTCCTGCCATTTTCAGAGTTCTTCTATCCTAAAAACCCAGGAAAGGGTTCAGTGTTTGTTTCTCCCCACCCACAACCCCCTCACCAAGTTGACCCAGCTTCTTCCCCTCCTCCCTCAGTCGATGCACCTGGCCCAGGAGCGAGAAGAGGAGGAAGAGGCTTCCCCTCCCTCACCCACTTCTTTGCCCCGGCTCATGATGTTATCTCACAAGGCATGATTCGGGTACTCGGTTTGTGGTGTCGGAGTGAGGTGCTCCTGGAACCCATGAATCTGAGAAGTCAACCTTCTAGAGTTCACTGATCTGCTCCTGGGGGAAACCTCGACCTCTGCCTTCCCCCCTTCGCTCCCTCCACAGTCTGCTCGCCTTTTAAAATGGAGACTGGAAGCTCCTTGGGGGCAGAGACTTGTTCTTATGTCTTCTCACTCACTGCCCTATTAAGGGTCAGGTGAATTGAGAGTGAGGTGTAATCTGTAGAAACAAGGGAATGCAAGGGGAGAGTCTCTGGTGTGTTTTCACCACACCAAAGAATTCTGTGTGTGTGTGTGTGTATGGGGGGTGATGGCTCTCATGTTTCCTGGATATGGAGGGGAAGAAAGAAAGAGACTCTTGGCCCAAGCCCCTGCCTTCTCCAGGGAGGGGGCCTTTGAAAAATGCTCCTTTCCAGCACCACGAGAAGGTTCTCCCCACCTCACCCACACAGATGGCATCCAGGTATCCTGCCCCCCCCCCCGGCTGGCCTCCTCCTGGTGCCAGGGGGGGGGTGGTGCCAGAGGGTGGGATATGTCCCTACTGCTGAGCCCTGACAGGACGTTGGTGGGATTCAGTCTTTAGTCATCCTCTCCAGCTTTCTAACCTTGGGGTCTTTCTCTCTCCTCTTTGGATGAGAGCTGCTCTGGAGGCACGGGTCTCGGACCCCCCCCCCCCCCTTTCGACCCCCTCATGAATAGCTCTGGCAGGGGTCTGAAGCCAGACATGAGAAATCTATGGTTTGATTCTGGCTGATGAGAGGGAAAGTCAGTACTCTTGGGTGCTGAGGTCCACCTTCCCTGTTGGCTGACGGGGTGGAACCTTTGGAAAAATTGGGAAAAGAGCACTGAGAAATGCATTTGAAGCAGCTGCACGTGTCCTGCGTCACATTTTTGGGAGATGCATTCTTACAGAGGAATCTTGGGAAGAACTCGGTGGATGTAATGGGCTGAAAGGACACATTGGGCCTGGGTAGTATGCAGAGCACTGGTAAATGAATTCATGAAACAAAAGAAAGGGCAGTCAGTGGGAAAGGAGGAGGAAGACTCCCAAAAGGGAACATGGAGGAATGCAGGCTGGATACATCACTGCAGATCCCTATATCTTCGGTGGGGAATCTAGTCTTTGAGGAGGGATTGCCAAGAAATTCTGATGCCTCTGACAGGACCCTATAGAGAAAGGCCAATTTGGGATTCAGTCTTTAGTCATCCTCTCCAGCTTTCTAACCTTGGGGTCTTTCTCTCTCCTCTTTGGATGAGAGCTGCTCTGGAGGCACGGGTCTCGGACTCCCCCCCTCCCCTTTCGACCCCCTCATGAATAGCTCTGGCAGGGGTCTGAAGCCAGACATGAGAAATCTATGGTTTGATTCTGGCTGATGAGAGGGAAAGTCAGTACTCTTGGGTGCTGAGGTCCACCTTCCCTGTTGGCTGACGGGGTGGAACCTTTGGAAAAATTGGGAAAAGAGCACTGAGAAATGCATTTGAAGCAGCTGCACGTGTCCTGCGTCACATTTTTGGGAGATGCATTCTTACAGAGGAATCTTGGGAAGAACTCGGTGGATGTAATGGGCTGAAAGGACACATTGGGCCTGGGTAGTATGCAGAGCACTGGTAAATGAATTCATGAAACAAAAGAAAGGGCAGTCAGTGGGAAAGGAGGAGGAAGACTCCCAAAAGGGAACATGGAGGAATGCAGGCTGGATACATCACTGCAGATCCCTATATCTTCGGTGGGGAATCTAGTCTTTGAGGAGGGATTGCCAAGAAATTCTGATGCCTCTGACAGGACCCTATAGAGAAAGGCCAATTGGCCCATCACAGAGAGTTTGGGTCTAGGATACCCTGAGTTGCCATGCCTCTGCTCCCAAAGACATGGGCTTGCCTTCTGAATGCAGGGAAACACAGAAACCTTTTTGGTTGAGAGATTGTATGACTTCCTAAATCTTTGAGGAAGGCCTGAAGAGTCTGGGAGTTTTCAGTTTAGAAAAGAGATGACTAAGGGAGGATATGATAGAAGTTTATAAAATTATGTGTGGGGTGGAGAGAGTTGACAAAAAGAACTTCTCCCTCTCCCAAAAGACTAGAACTCAGGATGGACAAAAGGAAATACTTCTTTACACAGAGAGATTAAAATGTGGCATTCACTGCCAGAGGGTGTAGTGATGGCTACAGGAAAAAGCAGCTTCAAAAGGGGATTAGCCAGATTCATGGAGGGTAAGTCTGTCATTGCCTACTAGGCATGGTGACTGAGGGGAAACCTCCATGTTCAGGGGCACTAAACCTCTGAATCCCAGAACCAGGAGGTAACATCAGGGGAAGCCCTATTATTGGCTGTGTGAAGGAACTGCTTCGCCACCATGTGAGACAGGAATGGATGGTAGACTAGATGGACTGCTGGTCTGATCCAGCAGGGCTCTTCTGATGTTCCTCTTAGGTTCAGAGGTCATTTCGGGGGGGATCGCGGGGAAACGCAGTCCCCCCCGGGTGAGCTGCGGGGGGTGGGGCACATGACGAAGCCCCGCCCCCCGCTTCCAGCTGCCCCGCTTCCGGCCCTGATTCAGCCAGGAGGAGGCAGGAGAAGAGGGAGGGTAAGTTGCTTCCTCCCCGCCTCTCCCCACCCCTGCCTGCCTGGGGCCAGGGAGGGCCTTGGCGGGGCTTCCTCGCACTCCCGCCAGCCTTGCAGGTCCACCACCGGGCCCCTGATGTCAGGGGGTGTGGCATATGCTAATGAGTTATGCTAATGAGTTCCCCTAGCTCTTTTTCTACGAAACAACCCCTGCTTAGGTTATATCTTTAATCATGAGGGGGAAGCTGTAATGGCTATCTAAGCACTGAGCCAGTGAGTGGACTTGCGACACTGGAGTGGATAGGCACATGCAGAAACCATTTTGGTTGACAGATTATGTGCCTTCTGACCGTGGACCGTGGGTAGAGTTGAGGCATATCTAAGAGTTCTTTGGGTTCTGCTTCCCTATTGTTAACAGCTTCCATTCCTTGTTGTGGGTGGGATTAAGGGTTTAACTGTTTTCACGGTCTTGAAGATCTGTGCTAGAAGCTGAACAGGAGACCCCTCAGAAACCTCCCTTGAGTGGGTCTACCTCTGCCCAGAGGCTCCCTTTTGCAGCTCAGAAGGGTCTGAGGTCTGAGAAGGGTCACCCTCTCTTCCCCCAGACACCTCTGTTGAGAAGCCCCATCAGATACATGTATGCATCAGCAGCCCCACAGCATCTTCTCAAAGGGCCTCTTCTGCTTTTGAGTGCAGAATCTGTAAGACAGAAACTCCGTCACGGGTTGCGCTTCCCCAGCCCAATTTGAGAAAGCACTTGGCAGTCTTGTAGAGTAGAATCCAGACTAAAAAAACTTTATTAATAAAGGAGGGAAAATATAGGTACAACAAGGTTTTGAATCCTAGAATACCCACAGCTCTTCCCTAGGGTTACAATGGAAGGCATAAGGTTTTAAACCCACTATGACGCTTTGCAAATAAATCAGAATTATCGGTTCCATCAAACTTTGTCACATATCCGTCACACCATTCTGATTGGGCCCGAACCTGTGGGTTGGATTTTCACAGGCAAAAATGTACCTCCTACAGCTAAACAATAGGCCTTCTTCTCCTCAGGCTGTGAAGTTCCAAAAAGTATCTAATGTAACAGATATGGGTACATCATGCAGTATGTTCTCCATCTAACGCAAGCGAGCTGACATCAGAAACATGTGCAGTCACAGCTAGCCATCAGGAGCATCAGTTACTGCTTGTCAGCATTTAGTATTTTTCCCAGAATGCATTTAAGCATTGAACCAAAGTGAATACCTGAATATATATTCATAGTTGATTTCTATCTCTGTAATTAGAATCATCAATGGCACTTGACATATCTGTATGTCTGTGTATGTCATAGGTGCTAACTGAGTCCACTAAGGTTAGTCTACTAAAGCAGACAGAGTGCTGAGTGCATAACAGTGTCACATATAGACTGTGCGTACAACAAATCTGAAAGGGAAGAGGGAAATAGGGTGGTGGCCGCTGTCTCGGCTGAGGAACCCAGTTCTGCCCGATGCTCTCTCAGCAGCCCAGAGGAGACCTGGCTTCAGGCATCCCAGGACCAGCAGGCCTCTTGGCCGCGCTCTTGAAAAGTCTGGAAGAATGGAACCTGAGGAGAAAAGGGCACAGCACTATCAATGTTTTCCTTCATGTTAAGAAGGGACTGAACTGGCTTGAGAGGGATCTTTCCTGCTTCCCAAAGGGAGGTCTGAAGAAGAAAGGAACTGAAACGGGTCAGAGCCTTCCTGGCCCTGAACAAGGTGGAATTGCTGGCGGGCTGAGCATCCCATGAGTTTGGTGTAGTGGTGAAGAGCGCAGACTCTAATCTGGGAGAACCAGGTTTGATTCCCCACTCCTCCACATGCAGCTGCCGGTGTGACCTTCGGTCAGTCACAAGTTCTCTCAGAGCTGTTCTCTCACGAGCAGTTCTCAAAAGAGCTCTCTCAGCCCCGCCTACCTCACAGGGTGTCTGTTTTGGGAGGGGAAGGAGATTGTAAACCTCTCTGAGACTCCTTCAGGTCGTGAAGGGCGGGGTATAAATCCAATCTCTTCTTCTTCTTCTCTGACATCCACTGCAGAGTGCCTAGAATAACTCTCAGATCAGGGGTCATAATATCGAGAGACAGAGGGGCTCTACCAGCAAACATCCCTTGAAGTTGTGCTCGGGGTCAGCAGTGAAGCTGTTTTCACCATGGAGACTTGGATTTCGGGCTAAAGAATTCCCTGGTACACAAGTACCCTCTGGGCTATGGCAGGCAGAGAACTTCACTTGCCATGGGACCTATAGAGGGGTATGGGGGTTGAGGGATTTACTGGATCACTGCTGATCAAATAGCTGGCAACTGCAGCAGCTGGATCCTTTTCAGTTGGTTTTAAGCTGGAAAGCAATGGAACTGGGAAGAAAAGAGGTAGAGAGCAGAGAAAGTCATGTTTCCTTCCACCTAGGGGGCAGTCTCTACTACTTCACTCTTCTCAGTCTGGCTTTCAGACTGGTAGTAGGAGACCAAAGATTGCTTACAGGGTCCTGATGGTGACAGCGACAAGCATGGACGGCTTCAAGAGGGAATTGGATAAACATATGGCGCAGAGGTCCATCAGTGGCTATTAGCCACAAGGTATAGATAGGAACGGGAGCTGCGGTGGCTCAAGTGGTTAAGACGCTGAACTGCAGGCTGTGGAAGGTCAGTAGTTCAGCAGTTCGAGACCCGGGTGCCACATGACGGAGTGAGCTCCCGTCTCTAGTTCCAGCTCCTGCCAACCTAGCAGTTCGAAAGCAAGAAATTGCAAGTAGATAAATAGGTACCAAGAAGGTAACAGCGTGCGGTGCGCCTTGGTGTTTAGTTATGCCAGCCACATGACCACGTAAACGTCTTCGGACAGCGATGGCTCTTCGGCTTGGAAATGGAGATGAGCACCGCAACCCTAGAGTCAGACTCGACTGGCTTTTGAGCAAGGGAACCTTTACCTTTTATAGATAGAAACTCTCAGTCTGGGGCAAGGGATGCTCTCTATTCTTGGTGCTTGGGGGGGGGCAAAGTGGGAGGGCGTCTAGTGTCCTGGCCCCACTGCTGGACCTCCTGATGGCACCTGGTATTTTTGGCCACTGTGTGACAGAGTGTTGGACTGGATGGGCCATTGGCCTGATCCAACACTGGCTTCTCTTATGTTCTTAACAGAGCGCCTTCCTGCTAGCCCCACCCAGCAACCATCGCCAGATATTAAACCCCCAGGGTTAGAGAGCAGGCGTCCCAGGACAGAAAAGGGTGCTAAAAGAAAGCCTGGCTTTTACCTTAAAAACAGTCTTTAAAAAACAAAGTTGGAGTCCAGGACTGTCCAGTGGGCACCTTTAAGGCCAATAAAATTTAATTCTGGTTATAAGCTTCCGTGTGCAGGCACACTGCTTCGGAAACCTTATACCCAGAATTAAATTCTGTTGGAGTTAAAGGTGCCCACTGGACTCAAACGTTTTTCTGCTGCTTGCTTCAGACCAAGACGGCTAAGCCACGTAAACCCGTCCTTAAAGAGTGTTTTTATTTTGCATCTGAAGGCTTGAGAGGGTTAAAGCGATAGAGCTGGGTTTCCTAAGTAGCCTGCACAACTTCCACCGTTGAGGATCCGGCTTTGTTTTCAGGAGAACTGGAGGACCGAGGCTGGATCCGGACCGGGGACCGGCTGGAAGGGTAAAACGTGGGAGGGAAGAGAGACAGAGGCTCCCCCCAGGTAGGGCAGGCCTGCAGGGGAGGGGGTCCCTGGGGCAGAGCAGGGCCAGAAAGGAGGAGGAGGTGGTCAGGCCGGTCCGCTCTCTGCTCCCGAGTCGGGCTGCCAGCTCTGGATCCGGCCCCCTGGTTCCTTCTGGCCGAGAACAGATTCCCCTGCGGATCTCTGGCGAAGGTGTAACCTCAGCTAAAGGCGCAGGACGGAGCCGTGCGGGCTGGACTGGTTGGCAGGTTTCGCTGCAGAGTCTGATGCGGCAGGAGAGGGGTTTGCACTCTGGGAAGGGGGAAGAGAGTTGGCCCCATGGAGACCCCCCATGGACCCCCCCGGTCTGAGAGAGAGGAGGGTCCCGGTCGCCTCTGACTCCATTTAGCTGAACCTCTGCAGGGAACGCGAGTAAAGCGAATCGGATCTGGAGCCGAGGGGATGGGAGGGGATTGCACTTATGAGAAAAAGAATCTTTTCCGTGTTAGTGTCAATGGGATTGCTTTGGAGCAGGAGGGTGGTGTGCAAATGCAGCTTGGTTGTAACAGATGCAGGGATTTCGCTTGAGGGAGTGGGTACAGGAGTCCTAAGGGAACCTCATGCTCTCCGTCCCCCTTCCAGATTGTTATTTTTTGCTTGCCTCTGAGCGTGAACAGAGTGCCTCCCCATCCCTGCTGAGTAACCACAATCAGACCTTCCTCACCTGGAATCGGAGAATAAACATTCTGGCTAGAAGGTGGGGCTGGAAAGAAAGGCACAGGTCATCTTTTCCTCTCTGGATTAAAGAAAAGGCAAAACATAAAGCAGCAGCGTTTTTCCTACTAAAACGTTACAAAGAAAGAGCCAGGGTTCCCAGACAGGACACAGGAAAGGGGCCCGGAACTGAGCTGGAGCATATTGGGGGGGGGGGGGATTCTCAGAGGGTGAAATGTTGGTTCTTCCCAGAAGGATGTGAATTTTCAAATTCTCGTTGAGCTTTGAAAGAAAAAATGCCACGTGCTGCAGAAGAAAAAATATTGCCTTCTCAGAGTTGCAGTCCTTCCTTTGGACAAGACACAGGAAGGGCAGGTGGGCACAGGAGAGGCCGGAAGGCCTTTCTGTGATGGGGAGAGGCTGGAGAGCGCTTGAATAATTAGGTCGTTTTAATGTTCATAATGCTTAAAAATCTTTTAACTTTTGTATATGGTTTTATGGTACTGGATACCAACTTACGTAAGCTGCCCAGAGCTTGCTCGTGGGAAGGGTGGGGTATAAATTGAAGTAATAAATAAAATAAAATGAATAGCACACAGGAGATCCCTGATTCTGTCCCTGGCATCTCCTTTGAAACCAACCAAAGATAGCATACCTGGCAGAGGCTCCAGAGAAGTGCTGCCTTGAGACTAGACTACTGGACTGAACTCCACAGGGGACAGGCCTTGAAAACAACTTGAAAACTTCAGGTGATGAAGAACACTAGAGCTCAGTATCAGGGATTAGGCAAAGTGAGTCTCTTCTTTACGTGCTCCATTGGCTCCCCCTTAGTTTTCAGGTTCAGTTCAAAGGCCTGGTTATTTCCAGGAAATCCACAACCCTGAAGGGCAGCCAGTCCCATTACGCTATACGTATGAAGGTGCCTTTTGTGGAGTCTATTAAAGCCAGTGTTGTCTCCAGGGTCTCAGACAAAGGCCTTCACATTACCTCCTACTTCATCCGTTTGACTGGAGATGCTGGGGATTGAACCGGGGACCTTCCGCACGCAAACCAGGCTCTATGCCACCAAGCCATGTCCCCTCTGTACCAGGTCTGCTAATCAGCTATAGGCAATCAAGATATACTGTGTAAGGCCAGTAAATAATGTCTTTTGAGATTTTAGTGTATTTTTTTGTATATCTTTAGTTTTTTTGTATTTTTCTGTGTTAATTTAAATGCAATTAAAGTCAAATTAATTGTACAAAATATTCACAAATGTGTAAAAGGTAGTTTTCTATACTCATGACCGCTAGCAGATGGTCCAAATTAAGATACAAGATCCGACAATTTTAATGGCTTGCTTGCAAGTGCACTATCTTCTAGCAAGCCTTTAAAATTTTAGGATCTTGTATCTTTTTACTGCGGCTGTTATGAATACAACTATGAAGTTATGTTCTTTCCGCAGTGTTTGAAATTGTTTTTCATTGTTGTTGGACTTTTTGTACTTTGAGATGTTGTGACTGGTTTGTAACATTTGTGGATATTTTGTATAATTAATTTGGCTTTAATTCCACTTAAAATAACACCAAAAAGTACGCTAAAATATCAAAAGTAATTATTTATTGGTCTTACACAGTATATTTTGATTGCATATAACCCTCTACTGTGTTTCCTTGTTGAGTTTAGGTCTATTAATTGGAACAGCAGAGCTCTTTGAAGCAGGTGCCTGCAAACAGATAAACTTACACGTTCTCTCTGGCCTCTCCTCTCCGGTGGAAGAGCCTTCCTGGCATTTCACACACTGTAAGAAGGAATTTTTTCGAAGGACTTTTCTCTGACAGGAGAGCAGGGCTATTTTTGGGCAGGAACGCACAGGAACGGAGTTCCGGCTGGCTCCCAAGTTGGCCACGCCCAGCAGGAACTCATTAGCATAATAGGCCACACCCAACAGCAGAAACTCATTAGGATTGGCTACATTAGGGGTGTGTGGCCTAACATGCAAAGGAGTTCCTGCTACAAGAAAAGCCCTGGGTTTTGACAACAAACAAGGTAAATGGAATAGCGAAGGAGTTCCTGCTACAAGAAAAGCCCTGGGCTTCTGGTAACATGGGGGTGCAGCCTAATGTGCTAATGAGCGGTGCTGTCAGGGTGTGGCCTAATATGCTAATGAGTTTCTGTTGTTGGGTGTGGCCTATTATGCTAATGAGTTCCTGCTGGGCTTTTTCTACAAAAAGAGCCCTGCAGGAGAGAAATCAGAAGCCTTGTAACTAGCACCTTGCTGCGTGCATTTGAAAAACCTCTAAACATATGGAATCATACCAACACCTTTTTGAATATAACCAGTTTATCTGATCAGAAAAGTCACATGGGGGACATAAACCGGAAGTTGAGGGATTGTGTGTCTCTTCTGTCTCTTTTCCGTGTTCTTCCTCTCTCCAGGAAGAAGCTGTGTGTGGAAGAGACTAACATTGTAGAGTTTTCAGTCGTGCAGCAGCAACTCTTGAAGCAATCCTCCAGAGCCAGAAATGGAGAAAGAGACTCCCACAGGTTCCAAATTAGGAGAAGTATCGGAGGGGAGAGGAATAACCTCTCATGTCCTCCAGGCTGCGAGTATCAGGGAGAACTTGCAAAGGAGACTAAGAGGTCCAATGAATCAGCCTGCAGGGGAGGGACTCCTTCCCCTTGAGCAGTGGGAAGCCCAGTGGCAGGAATTCCTGAGGACACTGAAATCCTCTCACTGTGGATGGGGAATCCGACACTTGCCAGAGAAACCTTCACCCTGGGAGGATGCCAAGGCCTTTCTGGCCTCCTTTGAGCAAGTGGCCGAGGCCTGTCGGTGGCCCAGAGATGAGTGGGTGATCCGACTCCTGCCGGCCCTCAGCGGAGAAGCCGCAAAGGCCTTTAACAGTCTGGATGTCAAAGACAGAGAGGATTATGGGAAGGTGAAGGCAGCCATCTTGCGAGGGGATGCCCTGAGCCGAGAGAAGCAACGTGAAGAGTTCCGGCATTTCTGCTACCAGGAGGCCGAGGGGCCACGGGGGGCTTACAGCCAACTGCGAAAAATGTGCTGTGGGTGGCTGAGAGTGGAGAATCACAGCAAGGAGCAGATCCTGGAGCTCTTGATCCTAGAGCAACTACTAAGTGTCCTGCCCCCGGAGATCCAGAACCGTGTGAGGGAGAGCGGCCCCGAGAGCTGCTCCCAGGCAGTGGCCCTGGCCGAGGAGCTCCTCTTGAGGCAGGAGAAGCAGGTGAGGCCCTTCTGTGTTGTGTGTCCTGAGTGTGGGAAGGCCTGGGGTGCAGCAGTGGCTGAGACCCTCTGTCCATATCGGGGGAGCAGAGGAGTGCCTGGGTGTCATGGAAAGGTCTGTTGCGTCATTTCCCAGTACGCTGCAATCCAGCTTTTTTGGGTGGGGAGGAATTCTCTCTCAACCTGGGAACCAATGAGTGGGTCTGTATTGATGGGGTCACCCTCCCGGTGAAAGAGCGGGTCTTGGTGTTCTGGATGCTTGAGATTCCTGCTCCCTTTGTCATCTCCGCAGGTGACAGGTGTTGCCTGGAAAGTCCTGAAGACCTCCCCCCATCTCCCTCCTCCCGTATAGTTCAGTGGATGTCGTCAGGGCTATTTTGGGGCAGGAACGCACAGGAACGGAGTTCCGGCTGGCTCCCGAGTTGGCCACACCCAGCAGGAACTCATTAGCATAATAGGCCACACCCAACAGCAGAAACTCATTAGGACTGGCTACATTAGGGGTGTGTGGCCTAACATGCAAAGGAGTTCCTGCTATAAAAAAGCCCTGGGTTTGGACAACAAACAAGGTAAACAGAATAAGAAGCAAAAAGTGAGTGTGTCTGGATGACCCCACTTCTGCGAACATGGGGTGTGTGGCCTAATATGCTAATGAGCTGTGCTGTCATGGGTGTGTCCTAATAAGCAAATGAATTTCCGCTGTTGGGTGTGGCCTATTATGCTAATGAGTTCCTGCTGGGCTTTTTCTACAAAAAAAGCCCTGGCTGTCGTCATGTCTTAACCTTCTTGGCGATAGTGCCTTCTTTGTGCATTTCACTTCCATAACAGTGTTTTGTAATGGGACACTTGAAATTTTCTATATGCCTTGTGGAAACTATGTCCTCCTTTCCTCTGTATCACATACCAGTAAATCTGCTAAGGTCAGGGGGGTGGAAGAACCTTCACCTCTGCCTCTCTTTGCCACTCTGCCCTGAAAGGGTATGTTTCTCTTTGCTCTTACAGGTACCCTTGCAGGAAGCTGCTGGATGGGTTTCCAAGACAGGGGAGGCTCCATCTGAGAGTGAGCAGAGGCATCCCTTCATGGACATCAAGGAAGAGGAGGATGGAGAAGAAGACTCACTGGGTATGGAGGGAGGGAGGCCTTCTGGGGCCTGAGATCAAGGCATCTTGGAAGCTCTTTCTGGGTCTGAGCCCAGCAGTGACTCCTTCTCTCCTATCAAGGGCTGCTTCCCTGTCCTTTGATCCTCCAGAGAACCTGATATTCTCGAGAAAGAGAGAGGCTGGTAACTTAAGAGCCCTGTTGGATGAAGCCCATGTCCCATCAACATGTTCCTGCAGGGATCACCTAGATGCATTTGGGCCTTCCCGTTTCTCTCCCCCTCCAGAAACTAGGGTGGTCCCTTTTGGACTGTTCGGTTTGTTGGACAAGGCTTAACTCCCTCCCCTTTTTCAGAGGCTGCAAACCAACTCATGCCCCATGTCACACCTATCACAAAACTCTCTGGATTTTATGATTATTTTTTTTAGTACTTGACCATCACTCACAGAAAATCAAAACGGGAAGGGCCGTGGCTCAGTGGAAGAACATCTTCTTTGCGCGGAGAAGGTCCTGGGTTCAATCCCTGGCATCACCAGTTAAAAAGACTAGGTAATAGGTGATGTGAAAGACCTCTGCATCTTCTTTGGGTGGAGAAGGTCCTGGGTTCAATCCCTGGCATTACCAGTTAAAAAGACTAGGTAATAGGTGATGTGAAAGACCTCTGCATCTTCTTTGGGTGGAGAAGGTCCTGGGTTCAATCCCTGGCATTACCAGTTAAAAAGACTAGGTAATAGGTGATGTGAAAGACCTCTGCATCTTCTTTGGGTGGAGAAGGTCCTGGGTTCAATCCCTGGCATTACCAGTTAAAAAGACTAGGTAATAGGTGATGTGAAAGACCTCTGCATCTTCTTTGTGCGGAGAAGGTCCTGGGTTCAATCCCTGGCATCACCAGTTAAAAAGACTAGGTAACAGGTGATGTGAAAGACCTCTACATCATCTTTGGGCGGAGAAGGTCCTGGGTTCAATCCCTGGCATCACCAGTTAAAAAGACTAGGTAACAGGTGATGTGAAAGACCTCTGCATCTTCTTTGGGCGGAGAAGGTCCTGGGTTCAATCCCTGGCATCACCAGTTAAAAAGACTAGGTAACAGGTGATGTGAAAGACCTCTGCATCTTCTTTGTGCGGCGAAGGTCCTGGGTTCAATCCCTGGCATCACCCGTTAAAAAGACTAGGTCATAGGTGATGTGAAGGACCTCTGCCTGAGACCCTGGGGACCTGCTGACCTTGATGGACCAATGACAGGTTCGCATGTATTCATGTGTCTTCTTGTACAGAGCAAGTCAAATATGAAGTGAGGTGGAATAAATCTTCAGCCCCTTTTCCCCTTAAAGTGTTTATATGGGGATTTTTGTGGAGGGAAGAGAAAGGCAGAGGATAAAGCTGGCTCCATTGCAGGGCCAGACCAGGCAAAAGGTGTGTCAAGCTCCTTGCTGTGGGGTTGAAGGAGGCTCTGAGGGAGGAATCAAAATATCCTGCAGGAAACAGGAGTGACCCATCTGACTTGATTTCTTGCATGGCTGCTGACAGGATCTGACAGGACCTCTCTCTTTATTCCAGCAGGACACATAGGGGAGGGCACCGGGGAATTACTGGGGTCATCCTCAGAAAATGCTAAGGAGGAAGACTCTGGTGAAAACTTGAGAGATTCAGATGGAACCAGAAGGAAGGAGGGAAATGACACAGATGTGAAGAAGGAGAAATCCATTATTTTCCGAGGAGGAGGCTCCCATGAAGTTCCAGACCAAGCTGAAAGGCCAGCGAAAAACAGAAGGAAGGGAGACCTCCGTTATAACCAGAGAATCCACTGCAGGGAAAAAGGAAATGAAACTGGGGGTGTTGGAAAGGTCTTTATTCAGAAAAGGAACATTGTTTCCCAGGAACAAATTCAGTCAGGAGAGAAACCATATAACTGCTTGGAGTGTGGAAAGCGCTTCAGTCGCCAAACAACCCTTACTTCACATCAAAGAATTCACACAGGTAAGGAGCCGTATAAAAGCTTCTTTGATTTAGGTTTAATGTTTGTTTATTTATTTTATTTTATTTCATTTATACCCCGCCCTCCCCGCATTAAAATGTAAATAAATGGATGCTTCAATGTACTGCAAGAAGAAACCACTGAAATATGCTCTGTTAGAAAGAACTTCGAGAGCAGGTCAGGCCTCCTTCTGTGGGTGCTAATGGGGTCTCGCTCTTTATTCCCACAGGGGGTGATCAGGAGAACGAGGAAGATGAGGAATGGTTTGGGTTACCATCGGGAAAAACCAAGAATCAAGAGGTGAAAGGAAACTTTGGGAATCGAGATGGAGCAAAGGGAAGGGATTTCCATGAATTAATTCACACAGCGGAAGAAACATACAAATGCTTGGAGTGTGGAATGGACTTCTCAGATCAAACACAATATAATACCCACTTGCGAATGCATAGTGGAAAGAACACTCCTAAACGTTTGGAGTGTGGCAAGAGCTTCAGCTGCAGATCAGAGCTTCTTAGACACCAAAGAATCCAGACAGCAGGGAAAGCGTATATCTGCTCACCCTGTGGCAAGAGCTTCTCATACAAAGCAAACCTTATTCACCACCAAAGAATTCATTCAGAAGAGAAGCCATTCATCAGTTCAGGGAGTGGAAAGAGTTTCTCTGATGGAAAAAAGGATAATGTACATTTTTCAAAGCATAATAGAATGAAGGCATATAAATGCTTTCAGTGTGGAAAGTATTTTAGATACAAATCTCAGCTCCTTGTTCACCAAAGAATCCACACAGGGGAGAAACCGTTTGAATGCTCAGAATGTGGAAAGAAATTCAGTCAGAGTGGCAATCTTCAGCAGCATCAAAGAATTCACATAGGGGATAAAGCTTTTGAATGCTCAGAGTGTGGAAAGAAATTCAGTATTAGTTTGCATCTTCAGCAGCATCTAAGAACCCACACAGGGGAGAAACGTTTTGAATGCTCAGAGTGTGGAAAGAAATTCAGTAGGAATTTGCATCTTGAACAGCATCTAAGAACTCACACGGGGGAGAAACCTTTTGAGTGCTCAGAGTGTGGAAAGACATTCAATTGGAGTAGCAATCTTCAGCGGCATCAGAGAACTCACACAGGGGAGAAACCTTTTGAATGCTCAGCTTGCGGAAAGAAATTCAGTCAAAGTTGCCATCTTCAACAGCATTTAATCACCCACACAGGGGAGAAACCTTTTGAATGCTCAGAGTGTGGAAAGAGCTTCAACTGGAGGGTCGATCTTCAACGGCACCAAAGAATTCATACAGGTGAGAAGCCTTTTGAATGCTCAGAGTGTGGTAGGAAATTCAGTAGGAGTTGCCATCTTCAACGACATGAAAGAATTCACACAGCGGAGAAACCTTTTGAATGCTCAGAGTGTGGAAGGAGATTCAAGTGCAATGGCAACCTTCAGCGGCATGAAAGAACCCACATGTGGAGAAACTGCATAGCTGCTATGCGTGTGCCAAGAACTCCTCTCGTATCTCATACATTAGCAGCAACTCTAGAGTCCACACAGAAGGGAAACCATTAAAACTCTTGGAAAGAGCTTGCCTCTATGTGGAAAACCTTACCATAGCCATAGAAACAAAATTCAAATAGGGGGGAAAAAACACTATAAATGCTCAGATTGTGGAAAGAACTTCAGCCATGATTGAAGCCTCAAACAGATCTCCCAAGGGAAGAAAACAAAGATGTGCTCTATGGGTGGGAGGAGATTCAAGACCGGTTCTGCTCTCCGTAAGCATCAAGGAATCCACACGGGGAGAATGGAGATGCTCAGGGTGTGGCAAGAGCCTGAGCAGAGATCACGTCTTCACATCCCTTAGTGAATCCACACGAGAATTAAACTTCCTTTATAGTTGGTTCCGAGGAGGCTCCTCTTCTGTTGTCCAGGTGTTGGGGGTTCAGGCTGCTGTGATCTTTTCAGGGTCTCACCATTGGGATTAATTCAGATCCAAAGGAAAACTCGCTAACTGCAGAGTAGCACCGAACAATATCTAGCATCCTAGAACTAGGCGGGGTATCCTTGGAGTATAATAGCGAGTGTATTGAAATATGGATCCCCCCTTGAGTCTCACAAGACAGCATCAGAAGTCAAATACTCTTTTCTGTGTTTTGTGGGATTTTTTTTACAGATCGGTGATTAGAAAATGTTTAAAACGATAGTCTGGTGCAAGTGTGTTACGTGTTTGTAAAAATTGCCTGTGAAATTGTAGAAACCTTCTTGCCTGAGCCAGGCAGCTTGTGCCACATCTGATCCCTGTGTATTCAGTTCAGCAGTTACAGTACTGGGTTACAATTGGGTGCGTCTTGGTCAATGTTCCCTCTAAGCTGTGGGGTCTTGTGTGCAAAAATTCTACTTTGTGAGCAACTGGCATTAAAGCTGTGAGCCAGTGATTTGGCTACTGCATAAATTAGTTTGATCTGGAGCCGTCCTTCCTGAGCTAAGACAAAAATTTGTGAGCTGGAGGCTAAAAAACTGTGAGCTAGCTCACACTAATTCAGCTTAGAGGGAACACTGGTCTTGGTTCAGATCCACACTTGGCCAGTCACTTTCTGAACCTAGCATACGTTACAGGATTGCCATGAAGAACAAACAGTGTGCCTCTGGGACGAGGCCCTTCTCGCATGAAATGTGTAATGGACTGTTAAGTATGGAAATCTCTGGACTCTGCTTCTGCATGGTGGGTTTTGGATCGATGGTGGCTCAAATATTAACTTTTCTGGTTGGTGTGGCAATACCAAAGCTATACTTTTAATGTTTGTTTTGTTGAGAAGAAAGTGTACAACCATCACATTTCGAGGGTAAGGCGAGGTGGAGGCAGCATCCCCAGTCATGCTCAGCAGTGTCTTCCAGACTCACTTGGCCTACCCAGAAGTAGAAACGAGCAAAGGGAGAGAAGGAGGAAAAGGAGAGGGTGGGGCAGGAAGGAAATTAGAAGAGGGAGGCCAGGGGAGGGAGACTGTCAGACCCCCGTACGTACTCACTCCCAACAGCACTCTTCAGTTGGAAGATTTGTTTATTGAGATATGTAGTCGATACAGGTATAAACCAACTGTGTCAGAACTGGCCAGGTTTGGCGCCCAGCCACAATTATACCCCATTTGAAAGACACCCCCCCCCCAGCAGTCGAGATCCAATCACACATCCCGTAATTTCTGCCTGGCAAAAGCGTGCCACTGTCCCCTATTCGCACAGGCCACTATCTCATAGCTCCTAGCAACAGCTTCAAGGTCGGTGTAGTCTCTTGCCAGACAGGAGGTCTGCTTGGGAAACGGTTACCAGCTAGTGGAGCAAAGCATCTTTATGCCTTCCTTCCATTCACTCCCCGCCCCCTCCCCAGCGAGCTCAGAGAAATGAAAGTTAACATGGCAAACGAATGGCTGACAGAGACAACCTGACAGGCACCATATTCTTGCGGCTTGAGTGAGTCAGCACCAAGGGTCCAGAAGCTTCCACAGGTCAGGGCTGTTGAGAAGAATCACAGAAGAGAGAATAAAAGTTTCATTGTTAACGGTTTCCTTGACTTTCAAGACCCACCCTCAAAATGTAGGGATGGGGATCTAAAGCCACAAATTTAGACTTATTATTTAGACATTCTTCAGCCTTCTGGGTTTTATATTTTCATGATGACCATACTTTCCCATTATTGCAACCACAACCCCTAATTCTAAAGTCTTCACCATTCTTTTTCCATAAAGCTGAAACAAAAGCTTTGTAGTGTATAAATAAATGCAGAATAACATTGGTTGCCATCACAACATCATTGGTTGCCATCACAATATCATAACAAAAAGCTAACCTCGGTCTCTCACCTAAATGAACATTGTAAGCGCCAAGAGGCGCTTGCAATAAATGACTGATAAAATTACTTGGCACCACAATCAATATTTCTAGAGGCCATGGCGCCCTGGTGCCTGAGATTTGTTGAGAACTTGTGAAGAGGGTCCCTGGTGTCTCTCTGTTCATACCACAGGATGGATCGGGGTGGCCAAACTTGCTTAACAGAAGAGCCACAGAGAATAAACATCAGATGTTTTGAGAGCCACAAGACATGAACAAATATAACCCACATGTTTTTATTGAAAGATATGCAAACTTGCTTTTTATTAACATTAATTGAGACTGCCAAAAATAAAAACAAAAGGGGTAAAAACAGATATCAATAATGATATTTAACTTTAGATGGGGAGGGAGGGGAGAAAGAGAGAGAGAGAAAGAAAGGTGGAAAGAAAGCAAGAAAAAGAAAGTGGAAAGAAAGCAAATGGGGGGGGAGGGAAGGAGAAATGGAAAGAAAGCAACTTTTAACTTTAAATGCATCTTCCAAGACCCCCATGCTGACTGGCTTGGAGAAGGCATTTAAAGAGACAAATGCCTTTTCCAAGCCAGCCGGTGATCAGGGTCTTTAATAAAGCATTTAAAGTTGCTTTCTTTCTCTGCTCTGCCACCCCCCCCCCAAATCTCAAGCCTACTCAGGGAGGGGAACACTGGCTTTGGAAGGGAAGAATGATTGGGGAGGCATTCCTCCCTTTAGCTTCCCCAGCCACCGTGTGTCATGGGCTTTCTCCGTGGTGCGTCTCCTTTGTAGAATGGCCTGCTTGAGGTGATCAGGAAGGGTCTCACATGTCTGACATTTCAGGGATTGTGAAAAAACAGTATGGTTCAGGAGGGCATTTCTAGGAAGGGAACCCCAGGAGTGTGGTCTAGTCCAGTGTTTGTTGTACGTTCTATCCTGCTCTTACTTCATGGTCTTGTCTTTTCATCATTCCGTTTTCTACCTTTGTTTACTCCTTATTTCTTTCTCCTGTTGATGTGAACACACACACACACACACACACAAAAGTGTTCAAAGTTGTCCCTTCTTTTAGTTAGTTTGGTTAGGAGTGTGGACTCTAATCTGGGAGAACCAGGTTTGATTCCCCACTCCTCCACAGGCAGCTGCTGGTGTGACCTTGGGTCAGTCACAAGTTCTCTCAGAGCTGTTCCCTCAAGAGCAGTTCTCAAAAGAGCTCTCAGCCCCACCTACCTCACAGGGTGTCTGTTGTGGGGAGGGGAAGGGAAAGGAGATTATAAACCACTCTGAGACTCCTTAGGGTAGTGAAGGGCAGGGTATAAATCCAATCTCTTCTTCTTCTAAATCCCAGGAAGAAGTTAGGATGTTTTCTTTCCCCCCCCCCCTTTGTGAGGCTGACCCACCTTCTCCCCTCTTCCTCCATCAGTCAATGTGCCTGGCCCAGGAGTGAGAACAGAAGACCAAGGCTTCCTTCACTCACCCCCTCCTACCCCAGCCTCATGATGTCGTCCCATGAGGCCTTCAGGCACAGGTTTTGTTATGTTGGTATGAGGGGCTCCCGGAACACCTGAAACCAAGAAGTCGTCATTTTAATCTCTCTTCCCAGCCAAAAGGAGCCCTGTAGCCATGGAAGTGGTCTGGTGTCTGTTCATAGGGAAACCTGGCTCCTGCCTTTCCTCCCTTCCTCATCTCCCCTTTCAGAATAGAAACAGGGAGCTCTTGGGGCCTGGTCTTGTCTTATCACTTCTTGCTGCCTTGTTAGGAGTGATGTCAATGGAAGATGATGTGGAATTCATAAAAGCAAATGGCTGTATGGCGAGAGTCCGAAATGCCTCTGCACCCCGCTGTCCACAAAATTACGGGCTATGGCTGTTGTGCTTCCTGGATGTGTAAGGGAAGAAAGAGAGGTATCCTTGGACCGAGACTTTGCCTTCTTCAGTGAGGAGGACTTTGAAAAGTGGTCCTTTCCAAAAGGTTCTCTTTACCTCACCCACAAAAATGGCATCCAGCCATTCCTGGCTGCCCCTCATTCTGGTGCTGGGGGGGGGGGATGATGCTGTTGCTCAGGCCTGACCGAAAGATGGCAGGATTTAGTCTTTCTGTCCTGTCCCACTTTCTAACCTTGGGGTCTTCTCCCCTATGAGGGAGAACTGCTCTGGATGCAGTGGTCTCTGACTCCACCTCCCCTTCTGAATATCTGTGCCTGAGTGTTGTGGTAGGAAAGGGGAAATGGTGCCTTTTCTGGCTGGGAAACTCCCTTAACCTAAGGGTTCCCTGGAAATAACCCTGGTAACCAGCTGCCACCACTCAGGACCTTCTAGACCAGTGGTAGCGAACCTATGGCACGGGTGCCAGAGGCGGCACTCAGAGCCCTCTCTGTGGGCACGCGTGCCATTGCCCCAGCCAGGCCCAGACCATCATTAAAGTGTCGAATTCTCTGCCAAATAATTTTAAGTAAGCGAAAGCATTTGGGATTGCTTTCCTTACTTTGTTTGGATCATCTTAAGTTAATGTATGAGTTGTTTTTTTCTAAAGTAAAACCTCAGTATTCAGGTTAAATGGCCGTGTTGGCACTTTGCAATCAATAAGTGGGTTTTGGGTCGCAGTTTGGGCACTCGGTCTCTAAAAGGTTCGCCATCACTGTTCTAGACTGACCTGCTCAGAAGGTAGTCTTCCAGCACAGTAGTAAAGCAATGAACAAAATAACATAACCAACCTGGAAACACCTGTGCAGTCTAGCACATGGGGAAGATATTAAGAGAAATATCCCCCCAAAATGGACTGTACTAAGTAAAGCCAAAAAAAAACTTTATAAAAAGGTTTATTGTAAATGAGGAAAAAAGGGAAAGGGTGGTTGGATTCAGAAGGGGTTGGGGAAAAGGCAAAACGAAATACAGTTAAGCGCACCCAACAACAGCCCTGAGATATTCAAATGAAAAGCAGTAAAATTGAACTAAGCTAAATTAATTTGTTTATTACATTTACACCCCGCCTTCCCAGCCATGGCTGGCTCAGGGCGGCTTACAGCAGGATAAAAACAACAATAAATAATATAGTGATCATAAAACCATATAACAATTACAACATTAAAAGGTGCTAACAATAAAAGTAATACCATTAGACAGATAACAGTTTAGCATTACATTTGGGGTGGCGCTCAGACTTCCGTGCAATCCTGGTCGTCGATCTCAA